CACCAGCCCAACCCTTACTCCCGTCATCACCGGTCCAGTCCTTCCTGCCAGTAACATCAGCCCAACCCTTACTCCCGTCATCACCGGTCCAGTCCTTCCTGCCAGTAACATCAGCCCAACCCTTACTCCCGTCATCACCGGTCCAGTCCTTCCTGCCAGTAACACCAGCCCAACCTTACTCCCGTCATCACCGGTCCAGTCCTTACTGCCAGTAACACCAGCCCAACCCTTACTCCCGTCATCACCGGTCCAGTCCTTCCTGCCAGTAACACCAGCCCAACCCTTACTCCCGTCATCACCGGTCCAGTCCTTCCTGCCAGTAACACCAGCCCAACCCTTACTCCCGTCATCACCGGTCCAGTCCCTACTGCCAGCATCACCGGTCCAGTCCTTACTGCCAGCATCACCGGTCCAACCCTTACTCCCGTCATCACCGGCTCAATCACTTCCACACAAGAAGCGATATTATTTAACATTGACCACATAACATGGCATTGCAAGTTTATATGTGTTTCGTATGAGACTTACATATCAACATCTTGTCTCAATATGAGAGATTAGCTCGGGGTGATGGGTTTACCAGGTGTGGTACTGACAAAACAGGGATACTTATTAGGGATTCGAACCCAGGATCCTAGATCCTAGTATGTCTTAGAATAACCTCAACAACCCGTGTCCATCTCGACGCTTTCAATATCTAGATTCGAAAAATATCTAAATACACAGTGTATAACTATTTTCTTGGTTAACGAATAAGCGAAACGTGATAAATCGCGTTATTAACAAACACAAAGAACCTAAAATATAGAATGGCATTTCAGAACCGAAATGACATTTAAACACTTCCTCATTTTGTGATGTGTATTTTCCTTGGACTGCCTGAAGAAGGACGGTCTACAGCACTTGGCTACGCCTCCAACGCAGAGAACAATCCCGATGGTCGATGACGTCACGGCGCTGGCCGTGCCTTGAAATGTGTAAACCAGTTTCATAAATTTATTGTTTCTCTCGTCCTTTATGTAACACACTATTTGTTTATAATTGTGCTGGTCTATATTTTGTGACATCTTGTGAATCTATACCAAGACCTCACGCTTGCTGTGTCTGAAGAATGTCGGTAAATGTAATGTGGATTGTACACTCTCTAACCAGCCTGAAAAGCTGAAAGGTTGTGAAGCCAGACATTCACATCTATGCCCGCCAATCATCCACCCACCCACACTTTCTACCTAGAACAGTGAACTCTACAACATATTGGAAATGTACTTACGTTGTAGGGCGTTGTACTCCCCTGAAACAACATCAAACATATATATACAGATAGATATATACACGTAAATGGCCTTGTTTCGAATCACAATCTTGGCATGTTGTAAATCACATTCATTCCACCAATTGTGTTTAACGGTTGACTTGGTCTCAGCTTCGTTTCCTTGATGGGTACAATGTAAGTTGAAGATTACTGGTGTTCACCGCCGTGAATTTGAGGGAACTAAAACCTGAGTATATCCATATTCAATCACTCCCTCTAAGATACAACATAGCTTGACTACCCCATCCTAGTATTTCAGGACATATGACTTCATCATTCGTCAACCATCCACCCTTCCACCCATCATTCCACACATCCATCCATCGTCGTGTCCATCTTCCGCTTACCACCAATCCGGCCACCCATCCATTGATTACTTCATCCATCTACCCATCAATCATCCATGCTCCGCCCATTTGTTCATTCATCCATCAGCCATCATTCATCCACTATTCCATTTCTCAATTCAATCCGCCCGTCGACCATTCACCCGCCCATCCGTCTGCCTTTCGATCATCTGGTCCTTCAGTCCTTCATCGGCCTATACCAAACCCTCTCATCCATCCACTCACCATCCATCCTTCATTCCCCCTTACGCTTATCCGTCCAAACCTCTACTCACAATATATCCATCGACCCATCCATCAGTCCATCCATCATCTCTCACTCTACCAATCTACTAATTGATTGTTGTAAATGTTCATATTGATTTTTATAACTCCACAGGAACGTGGGTGAGCTTTTCCAGGTCATATGAAAGATGTTACATTTCCATTGCATTTATGTCAAATATGCCAGAACCACTGTGACTTATCTTATCTTTACAGCAAACATGATATGATTACATAAGGAGTCATAGTTTATCATTAATGATTATGTTCCAGTTGATGTAACGTGGTAACAAACCAGCTGGAAAGAACAACTGGGTATATACTGTGGAGCACGGTGGTGTAGTGGTTAGCTTGCTGGTCTCTCACGCCAAAGGCCCGTGTTCGAATCCCGGTGGAGACACCAACATTTGTGACCTGGGTCTCATACTGTGTTGTGTCCCTGGGCAAGGCACTTCGTCCACATTGCACTCAGTCCACCCAGCTGTTCAAAATGGGTACCTGAAAAGCGGATGTACGGACCTATACGGTCGCGCTTAGCGCTTAGTAGCAGCTTTGAAAGTACAATTCCGACAGGGTAATAATGTAACGCCAGAGAGCAACATCGTGTTGGATTCTAGGCGCAAAAATTAGCATTATTATTATTATTATACTCACGTCTGGTGCTGACATAACTATTGAAATACGTTCATTTGGAGAGACGTCTTAACAACCAATTGGAAGGAAAATTGTACACTCACGGGCTTTGTTGTAACTGCTTCGTAAAGGAAAGGAAAGATTCAGTAAGGGATAGCTTTCAAGATTTACACAAATCTCTGCACAACTTTTCATTGTCCAGGCATCCATATGAGTCAGAAGGTGGAACCTTCAGTGCAAAATGCTGATACATTTTGGATAAATGACAAGTGGTACTCTAATTCTAGGGCATACATCCTTTCAGTGTGACTTCGATAGCATCAGTGTTGTTGACAGCGACAGTCAGCAATATTGCGGCTATATCACAACAGTATGTTGTTAATAAACCAGTCTGGATGAGACTGGCATCTATTTTGGTGTTGCTGTTGTTGTTGCTGTTGTAGTTGTTGTTGTGCAAATTGTGTTCGTATATATATTGTGTCGTCTCGTGAATCTATAATAAAACTTCAAGTGCCCTGAGTCTAACGCATGTGGCATAGTAACCACGGTCAGTGGACGGTCATGATTCTCACATTCATGGACTGTACAAGACCTAACCAGTCCGAAAGGCCAGAAGGTTGTGAAGCCATCCAATCACATTTCCACCCAACCTATCCTCCATCTATGCATCCCTCCACCCACTCCCGCATCCAACTATTCGTTACTGCCTCTGCTCGCTTATGGATCTGTCTATCCTTCCATTCGCCCGACCGCCCATCCACTGTTTCACCCACCCAGTCGTCCATGAATCAACACATACACACTCATCTCCACCCATATATCCATCACTCCGCGCATCCGGATTCTTAATACCACCAACTCATCCATTCGCCCACTCATCCCTCATCCAGTTCCTCCGATAATCCATTAATAATCCACTCGCCAATTCATCATCCATCCATCCTTCCATTCCATCTTCCACCCATCCATACGACGGCGTTTACAGTCCATGAATGTGATAATCATGACCGCCCACGGACAGGGGTAACTATACCACATGACCTAGACTGCATAACACCAAAACTACACCACAATATTGCACCATAATACAACACCTCACCACACCTACCACCACGCTCCACACACCAATCCCCACGCTTTTCACACCACACACCAGTCACTACACACTAATCGCCACGCTCCACACACAAATCCCCACGCTTTTCTCACCACACACCAGTCACCACACACTAATCACCACGCTCCACACACCAATCCCTACGCTTTTCACACCACACACCAGTCACTACACACACTAATCACCACGCTCCACACACCAATCCCCACGCTTTTCACACCACACCCAGTCACTACACACTAATCACCACGCTCCACACACCAATCCCCACGCTTTTCACACCACACACCAGTCACTACACACTAATCACCACGCTCCACACACCAATCCCCACGCTTTTCACACCACACACCAGTCACTACACACTAATCACCACGCTCCACACACCAATCCCCACGCTTTTCACACCACACACCAGCCACTACACACTAATCACCACGCTCCACACACCAATCCCCACGCTTTTCACACCACACACCAGTCACCACACACTAATCACCACGCTCCACACACCAATCCCCACGCTTTTCACACCACACACCAGTCACCACACACTAATCGCCACGCTCCACACACCAATCACCACGCTCAAGGCTCACACACCACATTCCATACACCAATCCCCACGCTCCACACTCCAGTACCCAAGCGCCACGCTCCACACACACGTGGTCAACCAACCAGGAGCCCCACGTCGACCCCGTGACAACCTCAGATACTTCATGCACATGGCATCATTTTCATATATGATATGCGTGCATATATATCCCTGTGTGAGACAATTGGGGCAAACGGGATGTCAGTGATCAAACATGTTTGTTAACAAATCTGAGCTGTGTTGGCCCCCGTCACACGCATGGGACTTGCCTTCGGGTGGCTTGAGGGTGTGAAAACGTGACATCATCCAAACATGTCACAAATTACGTGAAAGCTAGGACACGTGCCTTTTAGTCCATAGTAACCACACAACCCTGTGGTCGACGTACGAAACATGACATGTACACGCAGATTGAAAACCCGTCGTAAATCGCGCTCTTCCAAGAGCCCCGGCGTCGAACCTGTTAAAGACAGGTCACCAATTAGCCCAGGGAACCAACTTCACGTCGATGTGCAACATGTGCATGGGTTGTACATATTCAACGTAAAATAGAAGTCTAAACGACGGCACCCAATGTGCTTCACCCATGTAATAAACCTGATATCAGTACGGGTAACTATAAATCTATAAATAAATATGCAATGTATGCTGCATAGGCCATATATATGTCGAGTGACGACATTTCTATTTACAGGTGGGTTTTCTCGCTGGCATTAAGCCAAGGTTATGTTTCTACTTTCATTTTAGTGAGATCGTACTTGTTGACAAGGACGTCCAGATATTGCTGTGGAGATTTTCACATCTGTGATATCCTGGTAAGAGTTACAGTCATAATAACACGATTATATTCATAATTAATACCCATGTTATGCTGCACCCACTCATGTTACGTTGTGTTATTGTGAGAATGTATGAACTGTACCTATTCGATCTTGTCATGTACAGTGGAGTAGCTACAGCGTAGCACAAAAAGCACTTGCTTACACTTTAAAATTGACCGAAAAAATGTTGTGATTCAAGATGCTAAAAATAACATTTAATTTGTGTTCATGTTTTCTGTGTGGTTTCTGGTACAATACCGTTGTACCCGAACGCAACTTGCTTCGCGGATCATTTACAGAGAAAACGTGTTTTGTCTACTCTGTGCAATAAGTTATGTCTGGAAACAGGCTGACACTTCGGTCCGAAATCTTTAGTTCTTTGAAATTGTTTTACCCCCTTAAGTATTGTATATTTTGTTATGTGCAGAAATGAGGAAGAAATCTGCAAAACGTTCATCAGGTCCATTGATTGTTACTTTGTTAAATAACCCAAATTGATTGAAACAATCGTTACCTCTTCATGACCACATCTCTCAGCAAATGGGGCAGAGGTTGATAAAAATTGTACCTAATGGTCGTTTTGAAGCACAGTACCTAGTGCCTAGCTCACTGCACAACCTTACTGATGAAATTTAGGAGGCATGTTGCTTCAAAGCGACATTGAGCAGCTACAAGTTGAAGTCCGATGTAGAAAATGCCGTTGGCAGGACATAGCCATTGAAGAAAGGCCATCTTGACTGCTAACAACTCTCTACTTTGCCAAGGAGGATCTTTATCCTCACATCCATATGGCCGTGAAAACCTTGGCGACAATGCCAGTGTCCTATGCAACAGGGTGCTGTCTTTCAGCACAATGACACGCTTTAAGACTTATCTCAGGTCAGCATCTGTTACCTGGCAGATTGTCTGCACTTGCACTTATTCACGTATATTGTGATTTCGTGGTACACATTAAGTCACTGACATATTCGCACAATGTCAAGCTAGAAGACTGGCTCTTCTATGACCAACAACTGTGAGGACCTGATGCTGCTGTGATAGTTTGTTGAATCCTCTCTGTCGAGATCCAACGTATGCTTTAAAGATGAAGTGTTTCGAGTTTTCTATAAGATGTTTTAGTACTTAACTATTTACAATATGAACTTGGTCAGGGTCTGCTTCAGTTCGATCCGGTAGATTGGAGTGATTTGTTATGGTTTACATGTCTAACAATGTTATTGATGTTCGTCTTAACTTTGTCTCGTGTTCAGAAGAATGTTTTACTTTGAGTGTGATATACTCTCCCTGATTTCAAAATGTTTCATCATTTGTGCCTACACTCTGTATTTTCCTTGCTATATGCCTGATGTAGAAATGTAATAATGCACAATGACATATCACGACAATGATATGTGAACTGGTTGAGTTGGAAATATGAATAGATGACCTGATCACTGACATTTCAATAGGGTTCTGTTTACCCTTGACCGTGAATCTGTTTATCAGTCAAACGTGCTCGTGTTGCCGGGTTTCCGCTTGCCGCTAACATATTCGCTGTTCATGGTCATATTGTCAGTTGATTTATTCACTGCTGCAGGTTACGTTGCCAGTTGACCTAGTTACATAATTGTCAGGTTATCTATTTACTTTTTCCGCTCTTTATGTCAGGTTGTTTTAGTGATTGTTTATGGCCATTTTGTCGGATGGTTACGCTGTTATTTCAGGTCATTTTCTCAGTTGATATGATATTAATTAATTGTTGCGAGTCATGTTGCCAGTTGGTTAATCATGGGACGTTGTTAGCTGGTTTATTCACTGTTTCAGGTCATGTTGATAATTGATAAACACATTGTATCTATTGTTTCAGGGCATATTGTCAGGTTATTGGTTCACTTTGGTGGGTCATGTATATTTACGTGTCATATCATGTCAGTTAAATGTTTTTTTCTCAGATCGTATTGTCAGCTGCTTGTTGTATTGGCTCAGACCATGTTTTCGTTTCAAACGGATTGTTGTTTTCAAGGTTTTGCACAATTTCGCCATGTTTCCTTCCTTTTAAAGATATCAGTTGACTATTAACTGTATTAGACCTTGACGTCATTAGCTTCTTTTGCTTCTGTGATGTTGTCATCTGATTGTTTGAACATGTCAGGTTTGATAATCATTTATTGTATTTTAGTCCATAATTTATTGTTTATATACCAATTCAGTGACACTGACAATTACGAGTATGGCTCTAGCAATCGCAGGATTGTGATCAGGCTATATCGGGGATTCGAACTGATGAGCAGTCGGCTAACACTTAATGGCAAAAGATTATACAAGCACTTCCGGTAGAGCCGATGTGGCACCGCAACCACGAGAAATGGTTGCATGATGTATAACCCACTGTATACTTATACATTTTCTCTTTAATAAACATGTGTCTACCATTGCCTCTATAGTGTCCCCAAACGATGACTGCTACTGACCCATGTCCGAGTATCAGAGTGGTCACATGTAGAACTTTTACCACCGTTTCAAGCTAATGCTCATTTTGTAAATCTTTCTCTGTCAGTGTCTTCATAGTGTAGACTCACAATGACCGCTATTTAAACCATGTCCGACCACCAGGATGGTCAAATAAGGAACTTTTACCACCACTTTCAGCTAATGCTGATTTTGAAACTTATTCTCTATCATTGCCTTCAGTGTGTCCACTCACGATGACCGCTACCTACCCATGTCCGGGCATCAGAGTGGTCAGAGGTCCCGACTGGGCGGGGAGAGATCAAGATGGCGGCGAAGGTCACGTGGGAACGGTTGTGAAGATAGAGGATTCTGATTGGGCAAAGGGCAAAGTGTCTGTTGTCTGGGACAGTGGCCGAGAACTCCAGTACCGGGCAGGATATGATGGCAAGTTCGAGCTGCTGGTGTTTGACTCAGGTCCTACAGGTATGATACTCGTGTACATATGAAGATGATTTCTTGAACTTTGCTGTTGAGCAGTGACATTTGAAAAAATATCCTACCCAAAATTCAAACATATTTATTACCCTGGTGTGTAAAGCTGTGATGTTTACAATGAAATATAGAAATATTCAGAGTTTTAGAACATGTTATCTGTACACTTACAGCATGTAAGCTTTATGCGGAAGGAAAGTTCAATGCAGTTCTCCGACTTTACTACTTTAATAAAATCAGCAGGGTATGGTGTTTATAAACCCAGAAACACAATCAGGGCGAATCGATATTCGAAATCTTAAACCGTAAACCAAGGGACGCAACTCATAGTTCATAAGATGACTGGGGATCCTGGGTCCGCAAAACCAGTATAAATTACATACCTGTATTGAATGGAAGATTTATTTCAATAAAAGTACAGATCACCACAATATTAAATTTTACTTCCTGAATTGTTTTACGAGATGATTTGAATTAAGAATTTTATTTATTTTATTATTATTTTTACCTTTTAATCCTCTAGAATCAAAAATGCATTCTGTGTTAAGTTACAGTTTTGTTTGCATCTTACTAACATGGTTTTGTATATTGTCCAGGAGACCAACTGAAAGGCGCCCTGTGTGATGGATGTGGAGAAAAAAACATTTCAGGGATGATATGGACGTGCTCGACATGCACGAACTTCATCCTGTGCACCCTGTGTTACAACACAGAACGCCACGACACCGACCACGCCTTCCTCCGCAGCCTCACCTTCAACTCACCACTGTGAGTATGCGTCTCAATGTCACGCATACACAATCTTGTGTTGTTAGACATTTTTTCAAGTTGTGTAGGAGAGGTGTATATCTAGGCACTTTTATAGATAACAAACATATTTCAGTCTCCATATTTGCCATAGTGTAATCAGTTATATCGAGGGCATCATCGCGGAAGTCATGAAACTGTTGTAATTTTTTTCTAAGCTTTTGTCTCTAATTGTCATATAGAAAGCATCGTGTGTGTTTTTTATCACAGTAACTACTAAAGTTGGCATCTTCTGCACTTGGCGTGTTAAAGTCAGCAGATGACGCTCATTTCTTTGTCATATTTTCGATATCGTGAGATACTGGGGTCAGGGTTATTCTGTCTCACAGTCCCTGAACCATAGTATTTTCCCTATAGCCGAGCCCTCCCTGCAATGCTAGAACCCTAGATGAAGCAAGTCTAGATTTCCCCAGGTTCTGCATCTCTCTCCCTGGGGCTCCTTTGTAATTTATATAGGTTTATTATTAATAAAATCCACCAGCAGGTTATGATGTTGATAAACCCAGAAACACAATCAGGGCGAATTGATATTCGAAATCACAAATTAGGCTCCTGGGTTCACCAAGGGACGCAACTCATAGTTCATAAGATGACAGAAACAAAAATGTGGCGGATATTGTTCCCTTCGCTCTTTGATATTCTTAAATTTGGCACATATGTTAAGATGTTTTAAGTTTAAAAAGTACAATCTACAGTATCTTGTTAATAGTGCTGAATATTCGAGGAGTAATATTTTTTATTACTCGGAAATATAGTCAGTGTCAGCAGTTGCCTATCATGCAATATCCAAATATCAAAATTAATTCATATTGGTGCCTATAAAACCATGCTTTAAATATTTCAGAATATTTATAGAGTGAGTGAGTGAGTTAATATTTAACGTCACATCGGCAATATCGCAGCCATATCGTGACAAAAACAATTTTTACAATAAAAGTGAAATGAGAACATTTGACATTGAAATAGAATATATGTACGTTATAAAAACCTGTATAAAACAACTGGTATGGAGAGTTAAAACTGATATCACTATTTGGACAATACAATATAAAAACAGGCTATAGATCGCCAACACCAGAAGGTAGATCACCATACCAGGGACCATGGGGACTTACAGTACCTTGACTACCTGCATGGACCCCAGTTGGATTTACACCATCCCTTCCACTGCTGGCGATTGTAACAAAAGTAAGCCAAAATCAAAATGACAAGAATGCTACGTTTAAAAATCCTGGCGAGTTTAAATTGACTTTGAACATTTTGGGACTTACATACCCTCTCAGGAGGACAAAACTTTTACACTACTTCAACCCCCTTTGAGGGTACAGCCACTAATAATCTCAGTTACTAATCTTAACTACCCATAATAAAATATGTATCTATTTACAAATCAGTTAACAAGTCTAAAATTTTTTTAAAGGCAATAATTAAATGAGAACTTATATTACTAAAAAGATCCTTCATAGTTTGTGATTTGAAATAGATATCCCTTGTGATGGAATATTCAACACAGTCTATCATCACAAGGGATACAAAACGGAGGATCCTCACCTTTCAATAGGTACTCATGAGTATATCTTGTGAGGCCAATACAACATCGTCGTATGATGACCTCTTCAAATCTTGACTGACAAGCCAAGTAGGTGTCACCGATAGTTGGTTTTATTGCATATAATTTATTGATACCTACTTGGTTGTCCCACTTCTTTTGCATCAGATCACGAATATAATATCTAATAGCATCTTTGTGATCACTGTATGGAATAAGAAGTGGTGTCACAGATTTGTTGAGTTAGGTTATAATATCCTGCTTTCAGTGATAAATAGGTATTTGTTTTGAGGGTTTCATTATTCTTTTTAGCCGTGAATCTTTGACATGAGTTACTCCTTGAGAGTGCAATTCGGTAACGATTTCAATTTCGCTCATGTCTGATAGGCAACGTCCATTATCACGGACGATGCCTTTGCTGCTATTTAATGTCCTGTGAGGGGACACCTCCACAGGAACATTTGCTAAAGATGTTGTTTTCAGAAGAATGTTGGATTGTATTGGTTTCCTGCATTCGATTAGCAGGGAGCAAAATCGCAACTTTTTTATTTCTTTAACATCTTCGGCCAAACCTTCGGTGCCCTTTGCAACAGCAAAGGGATTCAATTTAACAGAGCCACCATCGGGGGCACACATGACTACAAAACGAGGCCAATTGTCACGGTTGATGATAATATCTTGAGCTTCATCCTCTGAAGACAACGAATCAGATGATTCGTGTGAGCGTTTTTTGAGTGGGGGTGCCAATGTTAAAGTATACATAATTCACCCTCCTAGCTCCCCACCCACCATGGAGTGTCAACAAGGACGATGCCTTATGTCTGTGGGTCTCCAGCAGATGGCACCAAGGATACTAGGAGGGTATACTCCAGCCGAAAAAATCGTGAAAAGATAAATCCCCCCAGATTGGCCCATGAGCCACCGCCTTCTTGGCATTAAGACTCTAGGCAAAGTTCATGATAAACATATTACAAAATCAATTAGTGTAATGAACAAAGGGTGCAATTGCATATAATCAATGCACAGGGTTTGGCGTGGCCAGCAGATTGATAGAACCGGGCCAGTTCTACCACCCATCTATAGTTTGGCATGAAATGCATGTGGACCCGGTTTTTTGTAAATATCTCTTCATCCAATGACCCAATCGATCTCAAACTGTGCAAGTGGATGTTTTGTCAGACAACCTAATCACATTGTAAATCACCGATTTTTTGCATTTGTGTTAAAGAATCTGTCTATGTAACTGTCAACAAAATAAACAGCAGAACGCAGAATGCTTGCAGAGGGAGGGAGCCAATGACCTGTAACAGCGGCTGCGTTGGGTCATGACGTCACTGACAGCTGCTTCCTGTTCAGTGCTGCTCCGTTTATATTTCCTCACTGCATTGCTCCTGTGGCCAGTTGTCTTGGCAATTAGCTGCTCGTCGACTCCTGAATGAACCAATCTCGTGGCGCACGTCGCACGGAGGGAATGGTTGCTGTAGAATCCTGCAAAGAAACATTGTTATAGCTTAGTGCATTCGAACTGAAAATATATTCTTCTTAGCTGCTACTGTACAAATACCAGAAAACCACGAGGCTTGTCGACTATTGCATTTTAAGAATTATGAACTACATACGTGTATCATCCCAAAACAAATGTATATCGTGACTTTTGTCGGTATCACTTAAAGACTACACAAACCGCATTTACAGGGCTTTTGTTAATGCTCAGTGCTATAGAATTACAGACACGCCATAACAAGGATTCAAATGCATTGCCATCTCTATTTGTTACCAAAATCAAAGGGTTTTTCTCATTTGCACTTAAGGTGTGCACAGAAAGGCGAACGATGCTTCCCCATTTTAGTCGGGCTTCTACTACAGGCAATATGCCGACCCCTCCCACTTTCCTTCAAAATGTTAGCGCGTTTTTCCCACGAAACACTGCCTATGCAACGGTCATGAATGATCGTAAATATGTGAGCTAAATAATTTACCTTGAAATCCTGCACTCCTGCACATCCTCCCAATGGTCTGTTTGAGTGTACTTTTCCCTATTGGCTGAACACTAAACCACTGATCATCTCTTGGTTTCACAAGGGGACGTAAATACAAATCATCAGGAGCGTTCTTTGGTCGAAGAGACATGTATTGTCGGAATATTCGTACAATGCACTTGTCTGGTTCAGTCGGATTAGCACAAGCTATTACAGATTTCGGCTCGACGTTAAAGTCCTTCAGCCCTCTCTGAAAGCATTTACTAACTTTTTCGGAATATCTCAAGTATTCCCCCTGCTCATTCTCACCAATCTCGAGCTGATCAACAGTTAAATGACGATGTTCGTCTCCGCTCCTTAGTGCGAAATTTAAACCAAGAAGGTACACCATGGTATCAACCAAAGTGGAAGGATCCGATGAACCCAGAATACCTTTGTCCCACAGGATACGTTCTTGTTCGAAAGTGATGACGTTTGCTTGTCTTGTACGCATACCAATGCCTTTACGGGATTCCATTTTCATCACACTGTCCAACGTATTACGAAGTTCAATAAATATCTTGTCCGATAACAGTTTAACAGGTCTGCCTGAATTGCCCAAATGCATTTGAATGAGCAAGATAAGTTGCCTCAATGTCTTTGGTGGGTACTCACTTCCATCTACTTTGCGAACTTCCGACACAAACCTACACAGTTCAGCTCATCGTCATTGAGCTCTTCCAGTTTATGGTTAATAACGCTTAATCTCTATCCATGTGTATTTCCTTGTATAATATTTCTGTTTCTGTTCACCCTCCAAGTTTCAAATAAACTACACGCCCAGCGTAACGAGCTCTTCGTTCGTTCTGGAAGTTGACTTTTAGACAAATTGGCTATTTCGTCGTCTGTCTTCGGTGTAGTAAATCGTTCCCTTGGTACAGAATTGTTCGACGTGCTTGACGAAACATTGAAATAGTCACTTGTATCGATATTTATCAAATCTGAAGACCCTTCATCATCGCTAATATCACTGCAATGTGGTAACTGATTTACCTTGTTCTGCGACAGTTCCATTGCGTCATAGCTACTACTTATCAGTTCATCGTCACTTGAATTAAACTCATTTTGTGAAGCGAAAACGCTTTGGGATGAGGGAATTAGTTCGTCCGACTCGGTATCCGACATGACTACACCGGAGCACATGTGAATGTCGAATGCTGGCGAGAAAAGCATGTGCATATCGTGCTTTGCGTTTTTATGGTTCTCGTCAAGGGCCCAATTTGTTGGTCCACAAGCCACTGAATGAGTATAAAATATGATAGAGTCCGCATGAAATGCACGGGCATTTCTTGCTGCTCATTTTTTATAGTTCTCATTTAGGGCTCTGTTAAATGTTCAATGAGCCCCAAAATGCCTCTATTCCTTACACACATTCAGCTGTCACAGGAATCAACAAAATAGTTCCAAACGTTTTATTAAATGTATCCGTAAATATATGATTCTAAAGAAAGATTGATTCTTGATTTGCATATGCAATGCTTTAAATAGGTTAAAGCACTCGGACTTTGGTCTCTAATGGTTAAAATTGTTAGTTAGAGCACTCTTCGCTTCGCTCATCGTGCTCTAACTAACAATTTTAACCATTAGAGACCAAGTCCTCGTGCTCTAACCTATACATCAGATGACCTGAAACAAACGAATAGCCCAATCAAATGTCCTTTAACAGTGAACTAGACGATTAGAAACGAATTAAACAGTCCTTGTATGGCTTCTTTAAGTGATAAACCTACAACACATGTATACTGATAGATTTATCTTAATGTCCATATCTATCTGGAGCTCTGGATGTTCTGCCCGATCTTGTTATATTGTCATTACGTTGTTCATGGTTGTGATGACTTATGCCCTGTGCCTTTGAAGGTAAACTCGTGGCTGGCTCCTTAGACGAAGGGTGGTCTGGAACAGGCTTTTCCTCAGACGGTAGTGCATTCAGCATAAGTCATGGTGATGAAAATGACAGCATTAAATACTTAAAACTGTGGTTAGTTGTAATTACTATAATGGATGTGCTTTTGAAAACATAAAAGTCTTACACTATTTCATCCAATCACAGCTGACACATGTCTCTATCACTTCAGATGTTTACAAACGCTATTCGCTCAAGGAGCCTATGATTCTGATTTAGTGTAGTGGAATCTGTAGGAACATTAGGAAACATCTGACGTAGGCAAATCTGTGATTCATGTATTGAATATACATGTAGCTTCTCAGAAAAAAAAATCGGATGAAGCTTCAAAACCTTTTCTTTTCCAATATGTCTATATGCCACAAGAGAGCTCTGAGAGTGATATCATGTTTATTTCATCAATGCTTTGGAAAATGTATTTTTGCATTAATATAGAAAATTAATAATCATACATATACCATGGGACTTTACTCATAATTCACACTAGAAGGCTGTCATGGGTTAATTCCGTGCATTACTGGGGCTGCCTAGATCATATCAACCCAAAATATATTATGAACGACAAAAATCATGGAATTCAGGCAAAAAATTGGATAGGTTTCACATTAAGCAGCTTTAACATCCTGACATATGTAAGGCTGGATGAAGCACTTTGCCAGAAAGTTTAACAAAAGTGGTTGGATTATACCCAGCAGTCTAAAACACTCACCAGAGAACCCTACCGCGTGTTAGGCGAGGAAGGAAAATAACCCCTTAAACAGATGGAATTGTGTTCAGCACACAACATGGTAAGAACTTATACTTGAGTTTATTGATTCCTCAAACTAAGACTTTGAAATACTTCCAGGAAATCAAAATTATTACTCTGTACCGTCAATATTAAACAGGTTTAGTGTAGTGGAACCTGGAACCTGTAAGGAGGATTTCTGCGGTGATCTCAAAACGAGACTTGTGATTATTCATGGCAGCCTGAATGCTCGAAGATACAGAGTTAAAGTTTTGCGACCAGATGCGTTGCCATTTATCCGTCTACAACCACGTGGCATTGTCTACCAACGCGGTAACGCAAGGCCTAAACCACCAGGACTGACAAACGACTTTCTGCATGACGCTAACATCGTTGTTTCGCCGTGATCAGCATGTTCTCCCGACATGAATCCCAACACCTAGATCGACAAATCAGAAGACTACCAGCGCCTCCTGTCACCGCTCAACAACTGGAATAATTCCTTCCAGCAATGGCAACGGATCACGCCTAACGTCATTCGTCGTCTTAAGTCATCAATGCGTCCGTGTTTTGAAGCCAATGGTGCTCACACTCACTATTGATTCAACATTTGATGACATTTTGCAGAAAAAACCGCCTTGTTGATTTGTATAAAGTTCAGACTACGACACCACGTGTGTTTTAGTGTCAGTCAAACGGTACGTTCGACTTTGTAGGAAATGAAACTGTGTACATTTGCTGTTGAATTGAATAGTCACTCTATTGAAATTCAACAGATGTTCCTTTATAAAATGATTTTCTCTTCTTTTTAGGTTTGGTCAAACACACTGTATACTCTCTTTTGAGCACTTGTTTTATATGAAAACGAAAAGTTTAAAGGCTTTTCTGGAATGACCTAGAGGATCGAGCTGATGTGAAAAACCAATCTGCTTTCATATTTTCAGGGTGCGCGTGCCGCCTCGTTCTGGCGCTCAACGAATACGTGCTATTGGTCTATTCAAGGATGCAAAGGTCATTCGTGGACCGCACTGGAAATATGGAGATCAAGACGGTCAGTTTTGAAGCATGGTTCTGCTTGCAATTGTATGGAAGTGAAGTATTATTTGTACACTCCATATTTGCTTGCTGATACAATGACGCGTCATTCTTTACCAGCAAATTGATGATAAATTGCACTGTTGTGTGCTTTCAAAAGGATAGTAACCGGAGTGTCAATATTCCGAGTCTAATAAGGCAAAAGCTTAACCTTTAACCAGTTCATCATTCTCACATAAGCGAAGGTTATATATCATTATCAATATCTATATTCGAATGGTCAGTTTCTCAGTGTTGTATATGACAAAGACCTGTGTCAGTTTCAATATTTATATCCGAATAAATAGTTCTTCAATTCAATATAACTTTAGAGCCTGTATCAATATATACGCTCCCGTATACGTCAGGTGAGTCTGTATCAATATCGATGTACGTTTCTGAATGATCAGTTTATCAGTATTATCATCAGCATCTGTCGTTAAGACAACCGTTACTTCCATCTTTTAATAAACACCTTTGTCAGTCGTTGTATTAAGTACCCTTTGTTGTAAGGGGGCCTCGATATAAGGGCGATCTTACCTTTACATTTCTAGTCTTAAATTTGATCAAGTCTTGATCTGATAAGCATAGAATCATCAGCTGTATGACTTCGATCTGCACATAATCGAATCTGGACGAGCCAAACCGGTGATTAACAAGAGCATCAATCTACACAACTGGGATACGATGACATGTGTCAACCTAATCAGCGACCCTGACCACCCCATCCCGTTAGTCACCTCTTACGAAAGGCATGGATTGCTGAAGACTAGTTCTAGAATCTTCAGGAGATATTCTGGTGCAAAGAGAGTATCCAACCATGACATGTCTGTGGTTTCTACGTTTGCAGGTGGAGAAGGAACCACCGGGGACGTCGTACAGCTCGGGTCGTTGTCGGGAGGGTACAGTCGGGGGGCTGTCAAAGTGAGGTGGAGGGGTGGACAGGACAGTCTGATGGCATACCGTATAGGAGCCCAGGGCAAGGTAGACGTCATCACAGTGGACGAAACTCAAGGCTGGAGGTACTACAAAGCCCATCTCCCGGTGCTCGGTGAGTTGATATTAACAACACACCACCTTTCTGGGCATCCAGGATGTTAAACCAACATTACTGTCAGGCGAAGCCTGAAGTAAAATTCTTTCATTTTGCGGAAGCAAATGATATTTTTGACAGTGTTGTCAATAACGTGGATATCAATATTTCTTGATGCATTTCAAAAGGATACTGTTAATTCTTTTTCTGTCTTACATGGGTGTCTGATAGCATATGTACAGTGTTAGAGTGTTGAGATATGTCTGGAGTGTGTGTGTGGGCGCCCTTTTTATGAAAATACCTGAATACACGTTCAATGATTGGATTTTATGAAAGACCAACAGGTTTGGAATCTATGGATGTTATTTTCTGTAACAAAGGGAAAACGAACTGACGGAGTACATGTATATTATATTCTTAGGAGCACGAATTAAGGTTTGGGGATTTCCGTTATAATGGTGTGTTATGTGTGATGATATTCTGGCTGGTCAGTAATGCTGTTTGATAACATATGAAGGATTGTGTTCACTGGACGAGTGTATAGGCCAAAGCGTATTAACTACTTGTTCTCATTGTTGCCTTTAGTTTCCTCGACAGTTTTATACATGATGTTAGTTCCGGTTGTTGTTGTTCATGGTGTCATCCGTGTTCAGAGGGGTGGGGAGAGGGGGGAGAGTGTGTGTGTATGTGTGTGTGTGTGTGTGTGTGTGTGTGTGGTGAGTGGCGCTTTTCTATCAAATGCACCAGTTAAAGAAAATCATTTCCGACAAACCTTATTTTTTTCTGCTATATGAGCTAGGTTATGAGTCAAGTTTGGTAAAATTTTAAACGAGTCCAGAAAAGACTCCTGAATTTGATATGTGATTCCAGCAACATTTGATAGTCGAAATAGATATAATTTGATTGAAAGTATTAATTGGACATATTATAACATATCATGATTCTTTTTTTAATTTTCTTATTTAGCGTGTACGCTCAGCCAAAAAACCGGAAATTCCACCATATTTAAGACAAAAACTCCAACCTAGCACAGTCATTACACTTTTATCATTAATATTTAATTCCATAAACACTCACATATTAAAAAAATCTTTTTGAGAAATAGATATTAATAGATGTAGCCTATTAGAAATATTAAAAATGGGGAGTGACTTCAAGGAAGCTTCCTTTGTATTAATGCCAAGTGTATGGTACTGCATGATCTCTAAATAGAACCGAATCAAAGCACTGTTGTCCATAAGCAAATATTCATGTTGAGCTTGATTCTCTGAAACGATCGGCTTCCATATTCCGCGAAGAAGCTACGGTTTTGAGAATGTTTAAATTTGTGTCAGTTAAGAAACACTAATAAACGCATTATGGATACAGAGCTAAATACGTACTGCATATGGGACACGTACGCCAAAACGCATTCTGCTTCGCGGAAAACATTTCTTTTTAATGTTAATTATCCTTTAATTATTTATTTTCCAAAAGAAGTATAATTATTAGATAATTTTTTGTAAATGGTTTGTAAATGAATAAATATTCTATTATTGGTAGTTTAATTGAGCAGCTGCGATTGTTAGTGGTTGTATTGTCAAAGGGGGTTAAAGTGGTAAAATTATTGTGCTGCTGAGAGGGTACGTAAGTCCCAAAACATTCAAAGTAAATTTTAATTTACCGCTTTATAATCGAGGAATATGTGTTCTATTGATGTATGGCTAGATGTGTCTTAATTGCGACGTTTCGGTGTTGCTACTAACACCGTTATCACCGTAATTGATAACGGTGTAAGTAGCTACACCGAAACGTCGCTCATATTATATTAAAGAAGTTGTATATTCATAGAACTCTCCTCGTTGTAAATTGCTAACAGCTGCAGGGATGGTCTAAATCCAGCTAGGGTCCATGCAAGAAGCAAATGTCCTGTAAGTCACCATGCGAATTAAAAATTTAGTTCACTCACCCACCCCAGGTGTCCCAGTGCCGTTTTTATCTCAATTGATCAAATGTTCCCGGATTTTTCGATCGAATACGATCGGTTTGGAACATGGGAAACGCTCAATATTTTGGGCACTTTTTCGAACAGTTTGAAGATGTGCAAATGTGACATGTCTTCATATCATTTTGGTACAGTTACACATTTCTACTAGCTGACACCCCCGACTGATGAAACATACACGTTTTATTACAATACATTGATTGCTTTTATTTGTCCCATTTGTTGGACAATCGTTATTATTGTCCCGCTACACAAACAAGGTAGTATCGATAATCCAAATAATTACAGAGGCATTATTCTTTTGAGTATTTTCACTAAGGTTTTCACTTCTATCATTAACCGAAGATTAGTAATTTGGAGAGAGGCATTGAATAAAATAAATGAATCCCAGGCAGGATTTAGACATGGATATACGACTACTGACAATATGTTTATATTACAAAGTATTATACAGAGATACCTCAACACCAAAGGTGGTAAACTCTATACACTTTTCGTTGATTTCGAAAAAGCATTTGATTCAGTTGACAGACAAAAGCTATGGTCTATTTTAAATACACACGGTCTAAGTCCTAAAATGAAAAAGTTGATTCATAATATGTATGAAAATGTTAAAGCTTGTGTTAAGAATAACAATGAATTCTCAGATTCTTTTGAACTACAACTCGGGGTAAGACAAGGCTGTATACTTAGCCCATTTTTATTCTCGTTTTCATAAATGAATTAGCAACCCAAATTGAAAGCAACTGTGAGTATGGAATAAAGTTACACCCTGACCTAGTACATATTTTTCTTCTGCTTTTTGCAGACGATATCGTGCTATTCTCAAGCACTGTTGCAGGTTTACAAAGACTTACACAAGAACTTGAGAGTTATTGTGACAAATACAAATTAACTGTCAACAGAAATAAAACTTCAGTGTAGTTTTTAAAAAAGGGGGACGTTTATCAAAAAACGGGAAATGGTTGTATAAAGGTAAAGAATTAATGTGCACCAGATCGTACAATTATTTGGGAATGTTCTTCAGTAATTGTTTATCTTAGACAGCACATGTTAATTACGCTTGTTTGCAAGCACAAAAGGACATGATAGGTATCTTTAAACAATCAAATGCACTTAGAGACATAGATATAAGTTCATACTTTAAAATATTTGATGCCAAAATTAAGCCAATTTTATTATATGGAGCCGAAATATGGGGTTTGAATTATTACAATGATATCGAAAGAGTTCAATTGAAAGCATGTAAAAGATTTCTTGGCGTTAAATCCAATACGATGAATACAATGGTGTATGGAGAATGTGGTATTTACCCTTTGCACTTATTTTCAAATATCAGAGTTATAAAATACTGGTTAAAATTACTGTAGATGCCTTCTTATAGGCTACCAAAGAAATGTAACAATATGATGATACTATTCGATATACACACAAATTGGGTTTCTTCTGTTTGAAATTTTCTATTCTCGAAAGGGTTTGGTTTTGTATGGAACGATCAGTATGTTGATTCTGAGGGTAAATTTATTTTAGAACTAACACATAGTTTAAAAGATATCTATTTGCAAGAATGGTTTGAAAAGTTATCACTTTCCAGTAAATGTTTGTATTATAAGATGTTTTAATGTACTTTGGACGCCGAAATTCATCTTTCATGTCTAAACGTAAAAAAGTATAGGATAGCTTTAAGCACACTGAGATGTTCTTCACATGATTTATTTATTGAAAGTGGAAGATTTTAAAATATCAAAAAAGAAAATAGAACTTGCAAACTATGTGATCTTAACCAAATAGAAGATGAATATCATTTTCTATAATTTGCCCTGCTTATAATTCCCTGAGAAAGTTGTATATCAAGAAATATTATTGTGCCCATCCAAACCTTATAAATTTTCAGCATTGTTAAACAACCAAAACCATACTATACTTCAAAACGTGTCCATGTTTGCTTACTATGCCATGTTGTTTAGGACAGAGTATATATCAGAACACAATGTAACCTACAGTTGATTTGTTTATCTTCTTCATGTATATGAAATGTGCGTGTAAATTTCGATTATATAAATGTGTTGTACAACAGGCCTGTGGCCTATTAGTACCGGAAATACACACACACACATATATATATATATATATATATATATATATATATATATATATATATATATATATATATATATATATATATATATATATATATATATATATATATATATATATATATATATATATATATATATATATATATATATATATATATATATATATATATATTACCTTTCATATGAACGAAAGTCCCGAAATACAACATTGTGCAATGGAACTTATACATATTTTGACATATTATTGCGACTTCTTAATATCGGTGTATTTCAACAGACTTTATAATATTTTAGCTCTATGATGCAATAGTTTTAACCTTTTAGTTCAAAACTGTCTGTGTAAGGTATGGACGAGCAAATCAAGGGTTTTTCTGAAAAAAACCCGTCACATGTGGGGACCCATTTGGTCTAAAACATCATGCCAATCACAGAATAATGAAAGTATGACAGAATTTAGAGTGTTTCCCTTTTATCAACTTACAGTAGCATTGATTACAAGCAAAAATCCCAAATCTAAGACATGAACTGGGGCGATCCCCAAATGTTGGTCGATTTGAACCGGAATTGTTTCTTATAACGTTATTTTAATTACTTCAATTTCATAAAAGCGTTGTTATTAGTTCATGAAATGTCTCAAAAGATAAAACCAATTTGGAAACAGACACATATTATCGAAACGTGTTCACAATTGTAGTTTGTCTGTTACAGATGTTGTGAATCCCATTGAAATTCGCCTGAAGGTTGGGGACAAAGTGAAAGTAGAGGTGGACGCAGATATATTTGAACGCACGCACAGGGACTTGACTGGTTATCGTGACAGCATGTCACAGGTACGTACCAGTCTTCTCCATCATGCTGATTTCAACATTGATAAATTCACTAATTACTCGTCCTCCGTTGAGGTCACAGGTGATGGGTGTGACTTCGTAAATAAGTGAGTATAGTTTTACGCCGCTTTTAGCAATATTCCAGCAATATCATGGCGGGGTACACTGGAAATGGACTTCTCACAGAGTTCAGATTTCGAGAACCGAACCCGGGTCTTTGGCGTGACGAGTGAATGTTTTAACTACTGGACTACTCAATGCTCGTGTGACGTCGTAATTGCATCTGCCATCAATGACATGCTGATTAAGTCTTCTGTGTTTGGAAGTGATGATCTACAACGATTTCCTTCTTTAACACAACTTTCCCAACAAATTAGATTTTGTATTTCCAGTGTTTGGTAGAGGTTGGTACTGTCATCGGTCTTCCCTCTCGAAACGGACGCATCATTGTTCCACATGTGCAGTACCCGGATGCTGAGAAGTACCTTATGGTGAAGTCGACTTTGACAAGGGTAGGTAGTGTCTGGGCAATATGAGTTCATGACATGATCTGTTTGATTGGCATTTCAGAAGTAGATGAATAATAAGAAAGGTATGATACTCTTATTCCTGCTTAACAACGGCGTAAGAATCTGGTTTTGTTCAGAGCTCAGAAAGTATGTATAACCTGTGTTAACATATTTTAAAGACTTCATCATCCACAAAAGAATCTACTGACTGTAATCTTGAATGTCAAAGAAATAGGTATACATATTGTACGTTAAACTTTACATTACAATCTTACTGTACGTTTGAGCATGCATTTACTCAAACGGATAGTAAATAGTTTGCCTTCACAAAATGTAAAATTTGCAGTCTTCAGTTATGACTGAACAAGTTCCGCATCGAAGTGTTTGGCATTTTGTTAAACTGGCTGAAAACCCCTTTTTTTATAGTATCACTTTTATACAAAATTGGAAGATTTGCTTTTATAATGGGCATAATTGTACAGTTATTAGGAGTGTAGGTACAAACAAAGAGAAGAATTCCCATTTCTTTTGTTTAAGTGTCTCTCCTGGGACTTTTACTGCTTTATGAACAGCATTTTCAACTACCTAAGAAGATCTGTTTTTTATATCTATTACATATTACCTATTGTCACGAACGTCATACGCATGATGACGACATAGCTACTACCGTTATGCTTCGCCTGTGACGACACTTACTTTTCATTGTACACATGAAGAACCGTTGACCGGCGAAAGATCTTGTGCAGATAAAGTCTGGAGTTTTATATATGGATGTCCAGATAGTTCGTCTATAGATAGGCTTATATATATAGTGAGATAATTTAGTGTCACTTTCATCCTCAGTGTTCAATCTGATCCATGTAGAACTAGTTTAGCCCAGCTTCAATAAGTAGCCAAATGCATCGAGGTCCTCGGATGCAGTCTATAACAATACTATTTTAACTTAAAAACTCATTCGTTTATATTTCGCTTTACTTCAATATACCTTTATCTTTACTCCAATATATTAAGCTTGGCTTGTTTTCTTTCTATCATATGAATACAAGAACATTCACTAACTACAGCATACCCTTCGCTCTTTTCCTTTACTTTCTGGTTATTAGATTACCTTTATAACAACATAATTTCTTTGAGAGGCACCATAATTACTGGGCAAAAGGATTTTAAGCATGTAGTTCTTCTGGGAAGGTTGATGGGCTGTGCTCATTACATGTCATGGGGGGTGCCTCTACTCAGATGATTAATCCCTAATTAATCCCTGTAGTTAATTTGGGATGTAGTTCAAATGGGATGTAGTTCTTATGGGAGTAAACCCACTCGGAGGCTCTGACAAATTACAAAGAAAACAATCTACTTAACTGCAACTTAACTATAACATTATAGCAATGTTTTGAAAAGACGTTTTTATGAAAATGTATTCCAAGGTTAGTATAAGTATCAGACATGCTCAAAGGTATACATGACCAAGATAATTTTTTGGAAAATTAACTCTTGCAGTTCCAGAGCCAAATACGACTACTTTAGTCTTTTCGATATTTAATTTTAACTTCCACTTTACACAATATTAATACTATGCTGTAACTCATCCGGACTTTCAACAAATAAGACCATGTCATCAGCATACATCAGTACACAAAATCTTAACAAATCCAAATATATCATCAATTTCTACATAATCACAGGTATTAGTCGCTAGATATGATTCAACGTCATTAATAAACAGTGAAAAAAGTTTCTCACTGGCGTACGCCTTTACAACAGTCAAAATAGGTAGAGTCATTTCCACCTGTGGAATCTCTTGGTATTACCATACATATTATAAATAACCTTTTAAACTTTCCCAGTAATGCCGTGTTTAACAATTTTTTGCCAAAGTCTCACACGCCAGACATTATCAAAGGCTTTTGAAAGTCTATATAAAACACTTTTTTTCTTCTTAGATTAAAGTATATCAATTAATCCATTTAAAAGAAAAATATTATCTAAAGTAGAGTATCCCTTTTGGAAACCCGAACCGTAAACAAGCGAAGATTATAAGAATGTTTTGAAAAGAAATCTATCTACTCATGGATTATGCCTAGTGACTATTATTCTAATGCTTTTTATAACTGAATACATCTGAAATATAATCGCCACTTATATACACTTCTAACGTTTCAAAAATAAATCGCTTAGCCAGAAGCCAACGTTAAACCCCCAAAATCTACTCCCGACATAGATTATTTTTCTCGGCACCGTATCTTTAGCTTTGGCCTTCCCGGGACATCTGAAACATATATTTTAGCCTTCCCGGGACATCTGAAAAATAAATTTTAGCCTTCCCGGCACGACACCACTCAAACACCATCCATTCTCAGATGAAGACGTTTTGATGATGTCTTGGTCGATCTAATTATTGCAGCTTCACACGTTTGCTGTCGGGGACGTTGTGAAGATTACCAACAACTACAACGCTGCCGTGGATCTCCAGAACGGACATGGCGGATGGAATGACAAAATGGAAAATGTATGTAGACCGATGCAACAGTAACACGCCATTACTGTATTTTCTTTCTTCTTGTCGTCGTTGCCGAAAAGGACATGACAAACGTTCGATTTATCCTATGTTCGACCAATCAGTTTAGAAACTGTCACCGGGAGTTACTGTAACGTGTTTGGTGATTAATATTAGAATAAAAATAAAGATTGAAACCCTGAAATTCTGTTCAGGTATAACCGGACTAACAAACTTGTCCCCGTACTTTATTGCAACCCTTCTCACCCACAGTGTCTGGGAAAGACCGGCCAGGTCGTTGAGATCGACAAGGACGGGGATCTGAAGGTGGCCTTTGGGCCAGTCAAGTGGGTCTTCAGTCCCGTCAGCTGTGATCCTCAGGACGGAGAGGCCTTGTCAGCGTCCGGCATCTCTTTCGGGGCTAATAAAAGCACCAGTTCAGACTCCTCTACATCTGATGTCGATGGTACTCATAAATCTGCATCAGCAGATAAGATACAGTATTTACACAGTAAACATCATGAAATACGGATAGGACATTACTTGATTAGAGTACATATCACTGGTTATAATGACAACCAACAACTTTGTGGTTGACAAATAGCATTTACCATTATTCAAAATAAAGAAAAAATGTTTTTGAGCTGTTTAACATTGTTACAATAATTTCGGGCTTGGAAAAAACATGAAATCCTATTACGAAAACGAATAAAAGCCATTCATACCCTGAAAGGAATATCTGCCAAAGATTCCTTTGATGAACTGTTGCAATTTGGGGGAAATCGGATAGCTAATAGTTCTGAGGCAACCAGTTGCGTTTGTGTGAAAGTAGGATCCGCTGGAAAGAGAGTTGTTCGCTGGTCAGTTATGGGGTTCACCTGATGTGGTGGATGAAAATGAAAATGGCAAACCTTGAATGTACTTGTTTTAAGAAAGTCCTTCCAAAGCTCATTCACTGCATTCTTCTTTCTCAGAAATAGCCGAAGGTGTGGCTGAGGTTCTGTTCGGCCTTCTGAAGTCTGGAGAGAGTGCTCTGTTCAAGCCCAACGCGTCATCCAGCAGCACCGTAACAGCCCGAGACCTCGTCATCGCTGTCAGCAACGGCGACACGGAAACAGTGAAAAACATTGTCAAGTCTATTGGTGACAAGGTACCTTTGCCAGCGTAATGGGATTAACATTGTTCATTCAGGCTCTTACGACATAAGACAAAATTACTGCACGTACATTGACAGGATTTGCTGATTGTGGGTTGGAATTCCTGATTCGTCCCAATCATGATTCTTGGTTCTTGGCACGTCTTCTACAAGGGTCCTGTGATGACATGTAATAGCTGTGCATGGTTCAAAGCAGCATCATGGGCAGGTCACTCACAGTATATTTAGAATAACACTGAACCACCAAGGGGTGGGTACTATTCTATATTAGAAACAAAAACCGTATACTTATGCCTTCAAGGCTCTTTAAGTGCAATATGTTTAGCCCTGTGTCCCATACAGGCTATTTGCCATCCCACAACAAACTCGTGTTACAAACTCTACATTTGTGACAAGCGTCCATTGCTTAAATGCAGTTACATACTGCCATACTGGGATGTATTGCACCTTTACCAGGTAAGCTGAGTCGAAATTGGGTTAAACGTTGCGTTCTCATTCTATCACTTCTACGTTCTTGACAGCACATTAAAACAATTCACACCTTACAAGCATTGGCTGGCGTAATTCGTACTGAATCTAAATAATTTATTCTTATTAGTAGGTGATTATTATTATGAACCTACTGATGAAATGATCATGATTTATTTATGAATCAGGTGAACGAATCAGTGGATGGCCTGACGGCATTGCAGACGGGGTGTTACAAAGGTCATGCTGGCATAGTCAAGCTTCTGATCGGTGCTAAGGCTGATCTGAACAAGGCCGACGATGAAGGAGACACACCTCTGCACTATGCTGTGTCAGGGTGAGTAGGGAGATAGAGTAGTGGTTAACGCACTGCTTTTATCAGAATACCACTTGTGATTAAATCACAATGTGTCAGAATTAACCACTAATCTGACATTATATGAGCCTACTGTTGTTCTTCACTGCAGCCACCACACTCAACACCGGCTAGGATAGACGCCAACATTTTTCCATTACTTGTAGTAGCAGTGGGGTAGCCCAGTGGTTAATGCATTCGCCCGTCACGCCGAAGACCCGAGTTGAATGGGTACATTGTATATGGGTACAACGTGTGACGCCAATTATTTCTGGTGTCCCCTGCCTTGACATTGCAGGAATATTTTCGTGAAACCATATCCAATCACCCCCTCACTCACTCAGAGTGAGTATCACGTGACGCTTAAAAATGTCACCCCCGTGACTCTAACTTGTCACCTTTTTACTTGAGACACCCTCATGACGGTTGTCCTCAGTATGTCTAAGTCTCAATATCCACATTCCTGTTGATGTGACATAGAGACCGGAAGGTTTATATTGAGACAATGCTGGTCATGTCAACAGAGAGCAGCCCATTGTGGTCGGGATACTGCTGGAAGCCAAGGCACGGGGCAACACGAAGAACAACAAGGGACTGACACCATTACATCTGGCAGTGGCCAAGAAGGACCCCAGCACCCGGTGTCTGAAGACACTCATACAGTACAAGTGTGATCCTAACACACAGGTAGGCGCAGCTTTGTAATAGTTTAGAGAGTCAGTGAGTGTTAGCCAATACATAAAGTGAGTTTATATAATTGTATAACAAGCATTAAAATTCACAAATGTATCTATTCTTTAGGATGAGGAGGGAGATACGCCCCTTCACGATGCACTCAGAACCCATAACCAGCATCTTCTTGATCCCTTCCTGGAGTGTGCCCAGCTGAATCTGAGACTCGCCAATTCTAAAGGCAGCAACCCTTTCCATGAAGCATGTGTGTCGCTCTCTGGGGCAACAGAGTAAGTTAACCAACTGAAGCTTTCTCCATTGACAGATCACTGAATCGTTGAAAATGATGCCGAAGCGAGTTTTGTGTATTGTCAGTTGATAGATCATTTGACAGATTATATTAGCAGAGCCTGTTTTACTGGTACCGTACGATAGATAATTTAATCATTGGAACTTGTTTTGAAATGATTTGAGAACCTAACAGGGTAAACCGCCCCAACATGATCTTTATCTTTGAAAATAACTGTCATGTTTTGTGTTATTAAAGTAGTATGTATGTTATGGTGAATAATTTGCCCCTTTCCAAATTATTCAATAATATATTGAACAAAGAATGAACAAGCTACAATGAATGACAATACAGATATGTTGTACAAAGCAATTGAGTCACAAATCTAAACTATTGGGTCACAAATATAAAATGTTAACTCACCAGAGTCTTGACATTCACAATGAGAACAAATATACCGATTGAAGGTTGTTTACAACGACAGCAGGTGAATAGACAAGCACCTTGAACAACTTGATGATGGCAGACAGATGTGTATAAATCCTCCCAGTCGTGTGTAAAGTCCCGTCGCACAACTCAACAACCAGCCTGTATATAGCTCTTACACAGTTCTCGAGCATTCTAGCAAAGCTAGGCTCCATCATTATTCTTGCAGAACGTTTCTCGAACACACGATGTGACACGATCCTGAAAACAAAATAAAGCCAACCAAGGGAGGCAACTTTGAAGCACTATCAAAAAGGCTTGCCGCTACAAATGCTATTGCCATTGAACATATATGATGCGAGATGCGATAAAACCCACACTCAAAACATTGTGACCCAAAATAACTATCACTTAATCAATGTGATATTACAAATTATGATTTTTAAAAAAACCTCTCATAACACGTTTAACTGGTAAACGATCTACATAACCCGGAATCCTTGCAAACAAATTCCACTAAGTCCAATTACTGATTGATACAACTCCTTAATTTTACAGATTTCCACAAGCACTGATAACGAGAGATCCGAAGATTGTGAACGTCCCCATGAACAACGCCCTCACCCCCATACACATCGCGGCCTTCCGGAGCTTTCTGGCCCTGGCAGGTGTCCTGGTGAAGGTAAAGTGAATCTAAAGGCTTAAAAGACTAAACTGCTTCTACCCTTTTCCAAAAGTCCGCGTCAATGAGAGATACCTGTCTGTTTCTAACGATACGGCATTTATTCGCAAGTTCTATAAGTTCTAAAAGATGGCCCGCTGTGTTGACTTTGTAACATCATCCGTAGGCTAACTGCAATGTCAATGCTCGGGACGACAACGGCAAGACAGCTCTTCATATGGCTGTACAAAGATGTAATCTTCAGATTGTGCAACTGCTCCTTGAATCTGGTGAGTGAAGCTTACATGTGAACATACAGTCTGTTATACAAGTCAGTAATGTGCAGAATGCCAAGCTGTTCATGGAATCTGGTAAGAACCACATGCAGGCAGTATGCTATACACGTCTGTAAATTGCCCCTGGAACATTATGAGTATAGCTCACATGCAGCATGATATACGAGTCCGTAAATTGCAGAATGTCCAACTAAACGTGGAATATGAAGAGTATAGCTTTTATGCAGAATGACATACAAGTCTGTAAATTGCAGAATGTCCATATGCCCTGGAATATGATGAGTATTGTTTGTATGCAGTATGATTTACAAGTCTGTGAATTACAGAATGTCCAACTGCTCCTAGAATATATAAAGTAGGGCTTACATGCAGTATGATATACAAAACTGTACAACATTTACTGATCTGCAGGGGCGGAGATCAACGTACAAGACCAGGAAGGAAATTCTCCCCTACACGCCACCCACATGGACAGCACGCTGCCCGGAGCTGTGAGTCTTTCGTGTATATAGGAAGAGATAAATTGCGTCAAACATCTATTTGTGAGCTGTCGTCACTTTCTATAGAAATATCTTAGTCTGTGTTGAACGTTTTCGATAATACTGTCTGCACTGTCTACAGGAAGGTCCAAAAGACGCGGATTTGGCCCTGGAAATCCGATGTCATCTTGTAGAACGAGGAGGGGACATCAGATTGACGAACAAAGCCGGGAAGACACCTCTAGATTTCGTGAAGAACAAGGAAGTGCGAGTAATGTTGGAGAGGTAGGACAGATCCCATAGACCAGACAAAGTTCCAAAACCTTTAACAGAAACGATGCAGCAACAGCACTCTCTGACTGGAAGTAAGAAACAGATAATCCGCGGCAGCCATATTGACAAATCAGTGACCTTTCTGATGCCATTTCATGTTCATATTTAAAAAACCCTAACCATTTGCCATTAGGTATATGTGTAGTTATCAGTGCTCTGTTCCTTACTTCGGGGTAGCCTAGTGGTTAAAGCGTCACGCCGAAGACCCAGGTTCGATTCCCCACATGGGTACAATGTGTGAAGCCCATTTCTGGTGTCCCCCGCCGTGATATTGCTTGAAAAATGCTAAAAGCGGCGTTAAACCATTATGGCTGCACGGTATTACCGGTTTACCGGTAAATCGCCATACGAAATTGCAAAAATTACGTATCGTAATACGTTTATGACGTACCGGTATACCGCCAAAGATTTATTTGTTCAATTTTAACCCATTCAACATGGCACATAAGACTTCCGCCCGTATACTCCCTAACGTTTAATGGTGAGGAAAGAGATATATTCAGGTAATATGGGTGGTGGTGGTGGGTGGGGATTGGGCGGAAGTCTTTCCAACTGATTGGCAATGGGTCCACTTAAAAATTGTCGAAGAGCAAACTATGGACGTGTCGATGAAATCATTAAAATTGGATAAACTAATGAATAAAATCAACAGTTTTCATAAAAGTTGTCAAACGTAAATCTAAGTCACTATTTCCATCTTTTCGTGCGATCATGTTATGTAAGTCAAGTGACATCTCGGCTTTCGTCACCTCGATCTTCATCCTCGGACACGATGTTTAATGAGAAAACATTTGCATAAAGAATATTTGTCACAGGTTGCCACCTAGCACGATACGTCCAATAAGTTCCATAATTTACGCATATATGGCGATTTGTTACTTAACACGTTCAGAATAGCATTATTGTACCCAAAACTTTTGTCTAAAAGTTTTCGTTTTTGAGGACGGTATCCATTGCTGTAATATGGTCGGTTTACGAGCATGAATTTTACCAATCACGAACCACATATCAGACTGTGGCGAAATAGCGTCATTAGAAATCCAATCTTTGTCCAATAAAATCGATTCTTACAACTGCGAAATTATATCCCTGGCAAAGTTACTGTGATATTATTGATGATTAGAGCTTTGGAACCACCCGCCATCAAATAAATCTTCTAGAGTGTTGTTCATACTGAGCTTCGAAAACGAAGGCATCCCAATGTTGTGTCATGTTACCGAGTAAAAAGCCACGATTATCGGGAAATAGGCGACCATAGATATTATTTAATTAATCTTTATATAATAATTTTCTGATTACGTAAACATGAAAACATAAAGAAATAGGTAAGAGGATATTATGGCATCTTACAAATGGATTAAAATAGCTGGAGTTTACGTCTCCTTCGTGGTTTATATGGACATAGTGTATAAATTTGAACTACTATTAGAAATAAATTTGTATTATTTAAATAAAGTCGTCTTAATCAAAGTTGTATTATTTGAATAATATGATAAACATACCTTTGGTATTTATCAACAGTTGGATTAGACCTAAAAAAATTAAATGGTGTATGACATAGCAATAATGTTTCACGAGCTGATATTTTCCTTGATAAACGTAGGCTTCTATCTTATTATAAGGTTATGTTTCTCATGTTTAATTTTTTCATTATTCTATTAAGTCTAAAGAAAGTGTATTTTACCTGATATAGAGAGACTTTTGGCCACCGTGAGTGTTTTGTTAAATCATTTCTTTTTGTGAATGTGTACCCAACGTGATTCATGAAATATGTAATGTTAATAATACATTTATTCAAAGACAAAGGTGCATAAATCATCGTTTTGATTATAATGTGAACTTCAAGATCATGTCACATGATTGTGACTTCAATTAAATGTTTCTTGAGTGATACAGATGTGTACAGTAAATTCTATAACTCTTTAAATTATTTGACATTCTACATCCTTTGCTGTTTAAAGAAGTTAAAGTATACAAATAACATGGGTGGATCGATGGAGGGCATTGTGTAAGCTAGTTTAAGTTGAATTTGTCATATATGTGAAATGAGAAATCATACATTTAACTGCGTTAACTTTCCTTTCGAAAGCAGTTACAATTAAAAGAAAGACTTGTTGAAAGTTTTTTTCAGAGTAAAGCATGGGGCTAGTAAATTTGGAAAGGACCAGTGACATACATAATCCACTAGCCCGGAGGGCCAGTTGAAACTTGTAGTGAGTGTCGATCCCTACTGTTTTGAAATACAAATATAAACGGAAGAATGTTCTGGATTTCCTTTTTCCACTTTGAAAGAATGCACAATGGTTACTCACATATGCTATGATTCAATTTGATGGTAAAGGAATATTACCAAGTGGACAGATCTCATTAACTGTTCTTTCACAATATATTGCAATACGTATCACAATACAGAAGAGTGTATCGCAATAGATCGCAATACGAAATTTGGGGCAATACACAGACATATAAAACATACTCACTCACTCACTCTTAGTATGGTTAAATCATAGTTAGAAATCACTTGCGATTGTTCTGCAGAATGCTCAAGCTGTGAACAATGTGTAGTTAAATGTCATACCGAAAAATGAGTTCCTTTTTTCAAATTAAAATGTAAAACGGTACATATACCACGTAATTCGTTATAATGATAAGAAGCTGTTGTACCTATACCTACACTACCGCATCAGTTATATGTGAGTAAAAATTAGATTGATAATGTAAATGTGACTTTTCAGAATTTCAAAACGACCTTCGACATCGTCAATGAGCCAATCAAAGCGTCTACCGGCACACTGGGAAACCATGGGACAGGATGGGTTCATGAAGGTGGAGCTGAGTGAGTCCAACCCCCTGACGGCCTTTGAATTCAGACATGTTGAGTCAAAGGTGGAAGAGACGCTGTCCAATAAGAGCATCGTGTCCATCTACCGTATCCAGAATATGGCATTGTGGGAACAGTATACTGTGTGAGTATACACGATGAATGTAACAGGCAGTGTATCTGGGACGACCATGGAAACTTGGCGAGGAACTCTATACTGTTACAGTTGAATACGTTTGCACGAGAACTTGAATGTTCTGGAGGTATAGTGGTACTGCAGGGAGACTATTCCATACTCTCCCAGAGCCATGTTGTTATTTGTATAAGTATTCACTTTGAGAAAAGACTTGCAGAATTTAATGTGCACAGTCTCAATAATACCGCAGGGGGCGGATCACTATAAGTCAGATCTATAACATCTAAGGTCTTGCGAGGGGTGTCCCGGAAGTTTCAAGCCTGACCAATGAAAAGAAGTTATGTCTGAAACTCTTTCTAGCTATTTGTCAACAAAGTCACCCTTGACTTCTATAACTTGATCCAACGTTTGCTGCCTCGGAGCACAGATTTGAGCCGAGGAAAGAGGAGGATATCAGAGTGGCAAGATCTGGATGTGGGACGATCGTTAAGCCACAGTCCTGTGCAGAGCTGACTGATACTTGAGCAGTTGTAGTTCATGCTTTTCATGCTTTTCATGTTACATGTATCTTCATGCGTTAGTACTGTTCTGTGTACACAGGCAGGTTTGTTGTGTCTGGAAGATCCGTTCATGGTCAGACCGGAACCTTGTGGGACACCCCTCGTACCGCCCCTTCAGACAGAATGCCAACGTTATGTCTGATGACAATATGTAAATGATACTTCATTCTTCATCTGTTAAAATGTGAATTCATACAGTTTTACGCCAGGACGCAAGTTGTTTACGTTTATGTAAATTAGAATATACAGAAAGTTTATTTAAACTAATATGTCCCTGCATGATACCTGAGTGAGCGAGTTTAGTTTTACGCTGCACACATTCCAGCTGTGTAGCGGCGGTCTGTAAATAATTCAGTGTGGACCAGATATTCTAGTGATCAACAGCATGAACATCAATCTACGCAATTTGGATACGATAACATGTGTGAACCAAGTCAGAGAGCCTGACCACCCGATCCCGTTAGTCGCCTCTTATGACAAGCATTGGTTACTGAAGATTAATTCTAACCCGGATCTCCACGTGTGCATGATGCCTGACATATGCCACCCCATGTGTATAGATGTATGTTACAACGTGAGGATATCCCGTAAATGCGCACGATTCAACCATTTGTAAAAAAAAGCTTGCGAACCGACATATGTACTTCAGAATGCTTTCTTGTAGACATGGTATCAATGGATGGTTAACACCTTATTCTCATCTCACACATCCTCCTAAATAGTAGACTTTACGATCTTTGTTGTTTTCAGCGCAAAGGTCAACATGGAACGTGAATACGGTCGGGGTCTTGCCAACGAAAAGCAACTCTTTCACGGAACCACACCAGACTCGGCTGATCTCATCCCGCACCAAAACATCGACTTCCGGTTAGCCGGAAGTAGAGTGGGCGCCCTCTATGGCCAAGGAGCGTACTTTGCTGTTAATGCCAAGTACGCGGATGGTTATGCTAAAGAAGACGCCCGGCGTCACAGGTTCATGTTCTTGGCTAAAGTTCTGGTAGGAAGGTCGAGGCAAGGGAACCCAGAGTTGAAACGCCCCCCAGTGTTGGATGCCAGCAACAAAACTAAACTCGCTGACTCAGCATGTGATAAGGAAACAGACCCGAGAATCTACGTGATTTTCAGCGAAGGTCAAATATACCCCGAGTATCTGATTGAATATCGTTAAATCTCAATTTATCGTGCGTGTATTTATCGGGGGGAGAGAGAGAGAGAGAGAGAGAGAAAGATAGTGCCAGGACTGCAGACAAGTTATCTTCAGTATGTCCTGCACTTGCTGGAAGGATTCTTTTTCTCTTTCCTTAGATTCCTTATCAATTGACTCTCTACGTAAGTACCATATTTCTTTTAATCTTAGACTTGTTGTATCCAAAATGTTCTCCCTGATTTCCGTAAAGGCAAATAATATATTCACGGTCATCGGCGATCGTTACGTTTCAAGAGGTGTTTCATCATGCTGTGATGGCGTAGTGAGTGAATGATTTGGCTAGTCATACGTTCCTATAAATGGACGTAATATTGCGGGATCTATTTTAGTTCGAAAATGCTCATTTTATATTCTAAAAGTCTTTGCGAAACGTTGAAAATGTTAACGGTACAGATCGACGTAAATTATAAACATTGAATTTTATAAATATTTATCGCTTAACACATGTGTTTCATTTATGATAACAAGCTCCCTACATTAAGACTGTGGTAAGCCCATTTCGGATGTCCCTAGCCGTGATATTGCGAAAAGCGGCCTAAATCCGAAATCACTCACTCGCTTTTCTTGAACCTGCGAATACTGACCAACAGCGTACAAAGGACCACCATCGGTTGGTTATTTTCAGGAATGCGCCAGTGAAGAATCACGCCGCTTCTTTTATATATAAGCATATTATTCTAGTTTAACTACGCCTGTTTTAATTGATGTGAGGAAAAGTTACATTTGAAACCTATTAACCACGAGTTGTTTGTAAGGGAACTTGCTGATATTCTACTCACAATGTCACCTGACATTTGTATCTCATACATTCTCTAGGCGTAGGGAATTGAGAACTAATGAAATAAAACTATGATAATTCACATAACATAACATTTGATATATTTGTTTCCATCGTACAGTGTTAGAATTTTTGCAACAATATCTGGTGGATTGGATGGGCGTTTGTCTATGGAACAAAAGAAGAAATGTTATAATTGTTCATAACTCTTTTTACTTGACGCTAAGTACTGAAAATAATGTTTGAGTTTGTTGTCAGTAGAAGGAGTAAGACAAATGCAATGTATAATTGGTGACTTTTTCATTTCCAATTAACCCATATCTCTGACTGTGTAAAAGTATCTGATGCGCATGCACATCCTAAAAAAACCCGAGATTTGATTACATATTTCTGTCTATTGGAAACTACGAATTTCAGTCATACTTTGTGTTGAATCCTACAAGTGGTTTTGTTTCGGATTCATAGATTATGTTATTTTCTTCCATGCATTTAGTATTTCACCCGTGGGTGACCAAACACATGTGGTCAGATGGTCAGTTAACTTGTTTACATGTTAATGGACAGCATGAGGTGAATCAATGAAGAGCCAACCAAGTACGCGACTGGAATCATCTCTTTTTCATAGTGATCAATGAACAACTGTTTGTGGTACAGAAGGGGAGTACGTTTACTTTCTGAATGTCAATTGTGTGTGTGGAGGGTGCTTCTGGTTAGACAGGACATGATAGCTCGCAAAAACTACACAACTTACGTACGGATTCCTTTTCACACATGAGTGGGGTGAAGGCAATTTCCAGTCTCCGCCATGAGACTGATGTAATATTGCTTTAAAAGGCGTAAAACCATACACACTAAAGCCGGGTTTCCATGTGCGCGCAGTGTGTGATGCGTTATGGGTAGTGCGTAGTGCGTAATGCGTATACAACACTTTATACTGAAAAAGTATAGCGGTTTCCATGCACGCGTAAAACGTGATGCGTGATACGCAGTGCGTAGTGCGTGAATTTGCTTACGCTCAAAAGTCTCCGAATACGCATCACGCAGCTATATGGAGGCCGGTAGTAGGGATTCTCAGCGGGTTTTCCCAATGTCATGTGGTTTTAATTGCACACACAAGTTGTAAAATGCTAAGGAATTCGGAGGCCGATACACTTCTTGAACAACTAGTTGAACTCGTCAGATGCAATCTAGCCATCCAGGAAGGACCTCAAGGATATAACGAACATATGCAATATTTGGAACGGAATTACAAGGAAACTTCAAACGATGACAAAGAAAGGACTGGTTTGTTAAGTGCAAAATTCCGTTTTGAATATGCGTTAATAAGAAAGTTGATTAAGCTCATCACATAGCTTTTATACACGTACACATGGACTGGGACACTACGCACACGTAATACGGACTACGCATCACGCAATTACGAAGACAATACGTACACATGGAAATCTAGCTTAAGACTTGATGTCCGATGTGATATCCGACACAACCGAGAAGAAAAACAAGAAAGCGTGTGAAGGAGCTGTTAGGCTGTTGACCATCACAATAACGAACCTATATTACTCTGTACAGATGCCAGTAACTATCCAACTGCACAAACATAGGTTCACGCGGGTTTTAGCTGTTCCGGAAAGCCTCCTTCGATGTTATTATTGTGCGTCCAACAGCTGCTAACCTGGAAGCACACTACTTAGATCACCATCATACATGACAGTACTTGATCATGGCGTATTTGTCAATGTTCTTTGTGACTGTCTCATCTTTGATGTTGCAGTGCAGATGCCAAGGTAATTCAATACATTTCTACCACTAATTTTTGGCACTCACTTTGTTTTAACAAAGAGTATTAATGCAAGTTTCTTGTTCCCTGTCAGCTGCAGAAAATGCCTACTGAACCCATTGTCTGTGATCAGAGGTGACTAAAATTGAAGGACTTTTTTCGGCAGCGCACGCAATTGGATTTGAAAGCTAAATGTTCCTTCAGTTTCTATTATTTTTCTGATGACACACAAAGAAAAAAAAATAACCCTTAACTGTTCAGTCAGTACAATTGATATTCTGAATGGACGATATTTCCATCACGTAAACACACGGCTTATAGCATCTAAACCTGAGGCTTCTTGTGTCGATGGAGTATTCTTATGGTTAGAACGTCTGCTCGTCACGCTGAAGCATATTGCTGGTGTCACCCGCCGTCATGTTGTTGAAATATTGCTAACAGCGGTGTAAAAACTCACTCACTCCCTCCCGCCTATAGCTGGAATATTGCTGAGTACGGTGTAAATTGATTGATACCGTTGTCTTTGCTAGTGACCTGTCCGAGTGGCCGGTATGGAACCAGGTGCGAGAGCTGCGGTCACTGTGAGAATGGTGACGTCTGTGAGAAGACCACTGGTGTTTGTCTCAGAGGTTTTGCCCCAGGCTACAGGATGCCCAGATGCCGAGAAGGTGAGAGGAAATACGGTTATATTCTTACACCTACGCTGACATGTAAGGAGTGCATGTGGTTTAACGCCGCCTCTAACGCTATGAGAGATACATTAGGGCGTGTCAGCTTGATTCTGCAGGCCCGAAAACCTGGAAACATAATCGGGGCCAATCTAACTTAACTGAATTTCGAAGTGGCAATGGGAACATTGGAATGATGAAACTAAGAAGTGGACAGAGCACCTTAAATGACATCGATATATTGTGTAGGACCTGTTTATCCCTCGAAGATGAAAGTCATGTATTCTGCAACTACACCATATTTACGGATATAAGAAAAGAACTAATTCCAAAGAAAAACGATGGACATTACATATCTGTTTATTCACTATTCAATTTTCGAAACTCCGAAACCATTAAAAATTAAGCTAAATATATTTTCCATGTGTTTAAACAACGAGGAGAACTGTAAACTCTACCTTATAGTTGAATTGCTCTGAATGTTTAATGAATATGTACAATGGGTGGTATGACCTTTTATACGATTAAGCATACTCAATACTCAATCGGAGATTCGAATCCACTTTCACATAGGGGACGCAACTCTATATGAAGGCTTTCCATCTGTGGAAATATACTTTGAAAGGAAATCATTCCACACTTCAACGCTGTTTCATTATCGGAAACCGTGAACCAGTTTCATTACAAGAATCATTGCTAATGTCACCGATGATCAGTTCCAAATTACTTCAATCCGGAACTAATATAGACACTGCAAATGTGTCGCGAATAGATGTTCCTCGTTAATAAATAAATTCTCCCAAGAGAAATAACAAAGGAACAATCTCCCAACAGGAACTGACACGCTTTCATACTATGACTACAAGTATTGAAACTTTATATTAAACTAAAATTGTTGATATAAACAGAATTCTACCATGACTTTAGTAAACACTGGATTGTGATTGGTTAATTAAAGTCATTCAAAGGTATATAGTCACGTTATACAGGTCTCTGATTTTCCGTGCGCAATCATACATTGTTTACGGTAATGCACTATTTTTGTCTGCCCACCAACATGGCGGACACCAAACAACCTAGCGATGCATCGATAAATTACGGCGATTTTGCTGTCGGAAATTACACATATGTCTTTAAAGATGGATTTAGCGATGACGGGCTCGACTCACTACTTGCGTAAATCACAGCAATAGATGTTTCTACATACAAAATTACTTCGAAAGCATGGAAACAAATATTCAGTCGAACAAGATCAAAACATCGTCTACTTTCCGAATAAAAATTCAGCAAAAACAAATACGTTTACGTTGATTCTATGTTATGTCAGAATAGATCCAGCAATAGACTGCTACATAATTTCCGTGTTAAATTTAATATCAGCTTTCGTCAACGATATCGCCACTGATCTTGATCCGGTAACGGAGGATGCATTAACATCGAAAGCCGAAGAAATTTTAATGCCTTCCGTCCACATAAATAAACAGTTGGGTTATCAATTCAAACTAAATGATATTTTGAAATTTGTACTGTTTCAAATTTAGCGGTAGTGAAACACAATTACAGAATCTGCAAACCGTTCTGTTTAGCCCAATATATATTTTTTTCTAAATATAATATCGTTGAAAAAGTTATTTAGCTTAGTCATGATCCCTCTTATCCATTACACTGCTTGATCTAAAGTAGTCTATTAAAGTATAATTAATTACCTTACCGTGTTATATGCCAGAGGTACACCCTCATGTCCTGATCCATCCTTTCGGAAATATCACCACAAATCTGGCTCTTTGTCGAACATGCCAGCAAATCCGATTCAATTTGAATTCACTACACTTTGAAGCCACTAGATCACAAACACTTTCCAAAATGTAGAAAATAATATCGGTAGAATCGAATTTGAGCACAAAGTACACACATGAGTGTGTAAGAGTCACCACAGCTGTCGCACGCAGACGTAGAGGTGCCTGAAATCGTCAAGTTGACAGGGCGCAAAATTCAACAGTATCTAAATTCGGTACAACACGGACTTCTCGTTACAGCAAAAGCGCCACTACTCTTAAATTTTGTACGAGTACCAGTAATTAGATATCAAAGACTATCTCAGTCATACAATCAGGTTAACCTTGCACTAACTGTCAGAGGCTCTCCTGTCGCATCTATCCAAATTTGCACGTAAATGTAAACAATGACTTCCGAGAAAAGGTCAAGGCCATGAGGTTGCTGCCATTATTCTGGTGGGGAAAGGGTCTACGGTGGAATTTTCAAATGTGAACCAAGCTTTTTAAACTTATTTGATATATGTTTTCCAACTTATCAGTTAATGATTGGTGATTGATGCATTGAAAAAACAAAACGTGATTTGTTATTACTGAATCTGGAGTTTGTTAGTCATTGACGGTTTGCCACCAATCACCCCGTTTCGGGCGATGCCACTTGAGATTGGAATGCGAGGCCGCTTCACGTATTGACTCGTAACCAAAGAAAGAGCTCCACCTGAAAATGTTCATAAAATTGTCATGGTAGAATGAGATAAACCTACTGTGTGGCAGAGAGGTATATAACGAAATTATAATAGCTCTAAATTGTTCATTTAAAACCTCACGCTACGCGTTCGGTTTTAAATGAAATTTAGAGCGATTATAATTTTGTTATATACCTCTGATTTTCCCACACAGTAGGTTTATCTCCTAATTCATTCCCCGGTAAAGTGTCATACTTCCAGCTTAGATCAAGTGTTCTACATGTAAATCAACAGCTTTCAAATTGTTCCTTTTAGGTTGTAACGCTGGCACATTTGGAGTGAAGTGTCAGTCAACGTGTGTCAATTGCCAAAGAGGAAGTACTTGCGATCACGTGACCGGACGATGTCCTATTGGATGCAAACCCGGATGGAGGGGAGACAACTGCACTTTAGGTAAGATTCTTATCAGCACATGATACGGAAGGAATGGGTGCTTTAAATATATGTTTTAAAGTTATTCTACACAGATTTTATACAAGACGATATTTGGTCCTTTCTGCCGA